GATAAACCTTTTCAGGCTCTTGTTTAGAAAAAATTTTTTTAAGCAACGCTCAATTAAAAACTAAACAAGGAGCATCCCACTCGAGTCCGTGGTTAGGTCGGAACTGCATGCAAACAGGTGGGATCCTGAAACGCGCAGCCCACCAGTCAGTCAGAGCAGCGGCTGTGGTCACGCAATCAGCCACCAGGCTCAGGAAAAACAAAACTGGAAAATGTCTTCGGCGGCCCCAGAAACACCAAGAATATCTTAAACTGCAGTGACCAGAAACAGAGCAGTATCTCACAGCACAAGCTAAAAACAACTTCGACTGCCTCAACAACACTCAGGGTTACCCCAAGTTCAGCGCTGTGTGCAACATCTGCCCAGATGCTCTCACGGGGCACATGCTTTCTGGAAAGCAACCTGGCCTTGTGACTTGCATCACGTTCAAGTCTTGTGCCGCAGTAAAGCCAACCCCCCCCCACCCGCAGGACACATCCTCAGGAAATGCAGCTGCGTCTTGGAAACCACTCCAGTCTCCAATGAGGGAACTGCCAAGTACATTACGGCACGGCCACAGAGCACACCCCAAGAGGATAAAACGACTTAGAAAAATGCACAAGGCAGGTCTAGCGCAATGGTTCTGTGGCTAAATCCTTGCCTTGCATGCATCAAGATCCCACGTGGGTGCCAGTTCATGTCCCAGTGGCCCTGCTTCCCATCCAGCTCCCTGCCAGTGGCCTGCAAAAGTAGTCGAGGACGGCCCAAAGCCTTGGGACTCTGCACCCATGCAGGAGACCCAGAAGAAGCCCCTGGCTCTTGGCTTTGGTTAGGCTCAGCTATAGCCATTGTGGCCACTTCGGGAGTAAATCAATCAATGGAAGATCTTCCTCTGTCTCTCCTCCTCTGTATATCTGACTTTCCAACAAAAATAAATAAATCCTAAAAATGAATAAATAAATAGAAAGAAGTAGCACTGAGCAATTCCATGGTACACAAAGTACATTTGGATGTCTGCTCAACGAGTATCCATTTAGTGTCTGAAAAATGTTAACCCTCCATTAAGTGGTGAAATATCCTCTAAGACAGTCATTTAAAATGCATTATCACACACTAGCATCTTCATAATGAGAACACTCGGCTGTAAGATTCTTGGTCCACATGAAAAACATGCTGGAAAGGGGAGGGGTGGAACCTCAGGGTTCCTTGGCAGGGCACCACCCAGCCACACCCGGACACAGCCGGACATCAGCACCAGGCAGCCATGGCTTCAGCACTCCAGCGTTAGCCATGCTAAACATCAACTTGACACATACCATTTTCTCTAAAATCTGTTTTCAGGCGCCAGAACTGTGGTGTACCACACAAGCTTCCGCCTGGAGGCCAGGAGGGCATCAACCTGAAGTCCAGCTGTCCCACTTGCCAGCAGACACTGGCCTGAGTGCTTGGGCCCTGCACCCCACGGGCGGCCTGGAGAAGGCTCCTGCCTTCAGACTGGTTCCTGCAACCACTTAAAGAATGAACCAGCAGACAACTCCCCACCATTCCCTTTTTTACCAGTTCTTGCCCAAACCTGATTTAGAAATAAGCCATATAATTGGGCCAGGCAAGGTAGCCTAGTGGCTAAATCCTTGCATTGCATACACCAGGATCCCATTTGGGAACCAGTTCATGTCCCATCTGCTCCACTTCCCACCCAGCTCCCTGCTTGTGGCCTGGAGCTGTAGAAGACAGCCCAGAGCCTTGAGACCCTGCACACATGTGGGAGACCCGAAGAAGCCCTTAGCCTCAGATCAGCTCAGCTCTGGCTCTTGCGGTCACTTGGAGAGTGAACCCGCAGTTGGAAGATCTTTCTCTGTGTCTCTCCTCTCTGAAAATCTGCCTCTCCAATAAAAATAAACAAATAAATCTGAGAAATAAGCCATATAATGAAGAACTTTATTCTGAGTTTTAAAATATATTAACAAAGACTGAGCAACAACTAAGCCTGTTAGCCAGACTTAATATCCAAATACAATATTCCACTGTGAGTTTCTGTCCCTGACTTCATGTCTGTATATAATAATAAGTACATGCACACATGATTTTTTTTGTTGTTGGTCAAAGTTTCATTTGTAACAGTTAAGAACTGGAAGCTGTCCACATGCCCACCAGCAGGAGAATGGACGAAATCAACTCAAAACAGCACTCGGTGACAGAATAAAACAATTCCAGACATGGAATGAGTCTGAGAACTACGGAGTGGGACAGCCTGACAAGGACGCGCACGAACTAGGCCCACACACAATGGCTCTCAAATGTAAACCAGCACCTAACGCGACCTGGACTTACAACGTCATCCACACAAATTCAGAAAGAAAACTTACTACAAAAAAAGACTTTCAAGGATTAAGATCTCCCAATTCACAGCAGGATGACTGGCGTGTGTTTGACCTACAGAAATGGGAGGTGGGCATCTGGCACAGGTGCTGATGCCAGGAGAAGGTGGGCATCTGGCATGGGCACCGACACCACACCACACCCCACGTCTCGCCCAGGGGACAGCTCCAGCCACAGAACCCCTGCCCCCGCCCCGCACAGAGCACGTTCTCAGCCCTGCCTTCGAGCAGGCACAGCCCTGGCTCTCACGGGCATCCAGGGAGTGAGCCAGTGGACGCAAGCTGCCCCTCTAGCTTTCTCAAGTAAAATGAAAATAAATCAATCAACAAGTAACTTCAGCAGTGACTTAGCAAGACTTAAATAACAATGAAAAACAAAAGTGGGGGAAAGTCTGCATGGGCTTCCACGGAGACCCGAGATTTCCCACCTACATCGCGGAGGCGTGGCGTGGGATGAGACAAATGATGCCTACGTGGTCTTTATCCACTTATAATGAGCATCAAACTTACCTTACAACATTTGCCAAATGTTATTAAGTATTTCGTAGCAGCCATATCATAACCTATCCTAGAAGCCCAGTTAAAAATAGGCATTGCTCAACGCACGCTGCACATGATACATGACTCCTTACACAATCACCTCTGGGAGCTGCCACGCACACCGACCAGGCACTGAGGGCTGGGTGCTCTCTGCTGGCATGCCCAGACGAGCGGCCGCTCCATCCATCACCTCCACCCAGGACACCAGCTACAGTGGGGCGTGGCAGCAGAATGACGCCAAGACCCAGCGCCCGGTATCTGAGCTTCCTCCGCTTTCAGACAGACACGCAGCTCACCGTAACTAGCAAGGCAGACACAGCGATGCTGCAAACAAACAAAGCACTGGCTTCTCAGAGGGCTTTCACCTGGCAAGTCCCTCGGCAGAGTGAACACGCAGCTAGCTTTCTGAGACTGTGCCTGAGTCTACAAACACTTCAGACACTCCTGCCATTGTGCTGCTTTTCTTTCTTTATAAGGCAAGGCTGAAATCACCATTTTGGATACATTACTTCTATGAAAAAAATCTAAAATCACCCATAAACTTCCCTTTTCCTCAAGTTCAAAAGGCTCTGTAAGAATCCTAGAAGACACACACACACAGAATCCTAGAACACTGGGCAGCATGGGGCCAGCAGTTAGGGCACCGGCACCCCACAGCCAAGTGCCCGGGGCCGAGCCTGGCTCCAGCTGCTTCTCACAGACAGCCCCGAGAGGCGGCCGGGATGCCCCTCCACATGGGCGACCGCTCTCCGCGTGGGCCACCGCTCTCCGCGTGGGCCACAGCTGTCCACGTGGGATACATGGACTGTATCCCACTGTCCATGTTGGACACAGCCCTCCACACTGGACACAAGGACTGTTCCCAGCCTCCCCTAGAACCAGCCACTGGGGAATCAACAAAGGGATGGGAGTGTGCTCTCCTTTTCTCTCTGCCTCATTCTCTTGCTCTCACTCTAAATAAAGTTTAACAAAAGAAAAAAATCAGATGGAGGCCCGGACGGTGGCCTAGTGGCTAAAGTCCTCGCCTTGCACACGCCGGGATCCCATATGGGCGCCGGTTTTAATCCAGGCTGCCCTGCCTCCCATCCAGCTCCCTGCTTGTGGCCTGGGAAAGCAGTGGAGGGTGGCCCAAAGCCTTGGGACCCTGCACCCATGTGGGAGACCTGGAAGAGGCTCCTCACTTCAGATCGACTCAGCTCCTGCCGTTGTGGCCACGTGGAGAGTGAATCAAAGGACGGAAGATCTTCCTGTCTCTCCTTCTCTGTGTATATCTGACTTTCCAATAACAAAATAAATCTTTTAAAAAACTAAAGAAATTAGATCAAGTTAAGAGTTAAATTTTTTCCTTTCAGAATCTTAAAGGCCATAATAAAGTACGTTTTTGTTTCCTTAAAACTAGTATTTTTACTTGGAAACCCATAATTTATGTATTTTCACGGACATTGAATGGTGTTCTATCTATAGTATACAGAATTACTACACCAAGCTACTTAACACATGTGTCAGCCACATTGGAGGGAAGGGATCGTCACGCTGCAAACAAAAGAGAACCCGTGTCTAATGGTAAGGACTGAGCAGCTAGCTCGCTCTGAGAGGCCAAAACGAGGAGAACTGGATCGGGTGAGGGGACAGCGGAGACCCCGACCTGCAGCAGACGCAGGGCCTGGCAAGGCGGGTCTCCCACCCCGGGAAGCCGGCCTGGCCGCCCCCCCCCACGCACAGGCACGCCCCTCGGGAGGCCCCTTCCTCCGCCGAGTCACAAGCCGCGTCTGAATCACCAAACCAGTCGGACGGCCGGCTTGCCCTCACGGGGCGAGCGGGGAGGGGAGCCCGGGCCAGCAGGCCGTCCGCCCACCTGCCAACCACTGCCCGACCGACCACCCGCCGCCCGCCCCGACCACCTGCCGCCCACTGCCCGACCGACCATCCGCCGCCCGCCCCGACCACCTGCCGCCCACTGCCCGACCGACCATCCGCCGCCTGCCCGGCCCCCTGCCGCCCACTGCAGGACCGACCATCCGCCGCCCGCCCCGACCACCCGCCGCCCGTCCCGACCGACCATCCGCCGCCCACTCCCCGCCCGCCCCACGGCCGGCCGCTCACCGCGATGACATTGACGAAGGTGGTCTTGCCCGAGTACTGAAGCCCCACCAGCGTCAGCTCCATCTCCTCCTTCCAGAAGAGCGAGCGGAACCAGTCCAGCAGGCGGGAGATGAGCGCCAGCATGGCGGCGGCTTCCACACGGGCGGGCCTCGGCCCGGACCCCAACGGCTGCTCGGGGCCCGGCGACGCGGGCGGACACGGCGGACGCGGCGGACGCGGGCGGCGGCGGCCAGGAAGCCGAGCGGTCAGGTGACGGCCGGGCCCGGAAGCCGAGCGGTCAGGTGACGGCCCGGCCCGGAAGCCGATCGCTCAGGTGACGGCCCGGCCCGGAAGCCGAGCACTCAGGTGGCACGCGCCGCCGTCCCCGGCAAGAGCGGCGCCGCGGGCAGGACCAGCGCGGCCGCCGGCGACAGCGCCTCCTGCTGGAGCCTCGGGCCGGCTACCCGCCTCCGCCCCGCGCTTCGCGTGGACCCCCACTCACGCGGCCTGGACGTGAACGGGTGCCACCCGCCGGTGCGGGACCTCTGAGGGCTGGAGCGTGAACGGCCGGGCACTGCAGCACAGGAGCCGCCCTGCGAGGGGCTGTGCGTGCAGACGCGGGGAACTCGGGACCCTGGGTGGGCTTCGGCGCGCCATGGGCTGCGGGAGGGCACTCGGGTGGACGGGAGCCTGCAACCACAAGCCGGGTCGCAGTCCTAACCAGTCGTCCTGCAAACAATGGCCCTGGGAGAGCTCAAGCAAGACCCACACACAGGCCAGTCTACGCAGGCCCTGGGGTAGGCGAGGACCGGCCCTACCACCCGTGCCCACTGCAGCCGGCCAGTGGAGGGAGGAGATGGCCAGCATGTCCTTTCTGGAGGATACTGCCCGTTTCCTAGAGGAGCCGACCCTGTTCAGTGACAAGCCCATCACCAAAGACGTGCAGAGAAGGAAAATGGCGCGATGAGGGGTATAGGGGCTGGGTGGATCAGCCACACCCGCAGGGGTTAAATGCTGCCCAGCTCCCAGGCCTGACCTCCGCTCTGAACAGCTGCGTGCCCCCCACCCTCATCTCCAGGTGTGATGGGGCTGCAGCCCCGGAGAGACCCCCAGCTAAACAGTACAGCCCAAAAACTCAGAGGTCCACCTTAGGTGTCACAGTGGGCAGCCCCACGAGAGAAAACCATCCTCACCCAGGACCTGTGGGTATTCACAGCAAGGGCCAGGCAGATGGGCAGGACCTGGACTTACGGTGGGCTGCGGTGCAGGTTGGGGCATCTCCCAAGGGTCCTGACCTGGACCATGATGCAGAGCAAGACTCAGCTGCCGTGTGATAAGGAGAGGCTGTGCCAGCCTTCAGCCCTGTGGGATCAGCAGGGAGAGGACAGGCATGGGCACACAGCACTGGCACTACCAGGAGGGAATGGGGCCAGGCACACAGCACTGGCACTACCAGGAGGGGACAGGCACACAGCGCAGACGCTGGCCAGGAGGGGACAGGGACAGGCACACAGTCCGGACGCTGGCCGGGAGGGAAATGCGACAGGCATGTAGCATGAGCACTGGCTGGGAGGGGACAGGCATGGGCACACATCATAGGTGCTGGCCAGGAGGGGATGGCATAGGCACGCAGCACTGGCACTGCCAGGAGGGGATGGGCACGCAGCATGGGTGCTGGCGAGGACCTCCTCTCGCAGATCCCCCCAACCTGCACACTCGGTAGCTCCTCACAGGGAGACCAGGGGGGACTCAGCTGTGCCCTGGCCCAGGCCGACTCCTCGGACCCCCGTGTCCTTCCTGTGAAGTGGGCGCCGCAGGCCTGGGCTGAGAGCCCTTCCTCACCTGTCAGTCACCAACACCCTCCAATCAGCTCCCGTCTGCGCTCTATCTCCCCGCCTCTGAGCTCATTTCTCCCTGGCGACCTTTGCACCGATAGTGAGGATGATCTTCTGCCTGTGCTTGAGTGGAATGCTCCATTAAGTCAGGACGTTGTTCTCCTTGATACTGTCAGGACCTGCACACAGTGGGCCTCTCGCTGACATGGCGGCTGGGAGGGAGGGGACGGGTGGGCTGCTCTTGCGACAGCCTCAGCCTGGTAATGGTGCCTGGTTCTGGACGCACTGCTTCGCTTCCAATCCGGCTTTTTGCTAACACACACCCCGGGAGGCAGCAGCTGACGGCCCAAGTGCCTGGGTCCCGGCCACCCTGTGGGAGACCCCGAAGAAGCTCCTGGCTCTTGGCTTCGCAGCCATTTGGGGAGCAAACCAGTGGATGGAAGATATCTGTGTGTCTCCCTCTCTCTCTGCAACTCAGTCAAACAAATGAGGAAATCTTGAAGAAAGTGCGACTTAACATAGCCATGTTCCCGTACTATGCAAAAATTTAACAGAAGGCAGTTACAGAGAGAGAGAGCGAGCTTTCCTCTGCCGGTTCACTTCACACAGGGCTGCAGTGGTCACGGCTGGGCAAGGCCGAAAAGTCCGTTCAGATCTTCCCAGGTGAAGGGACTCAAGTTCTCGGGCCACACTCTGCTGCTCCCCAAGCACGTTAGCAGGGAGCTGGACTGGAAGTGGGGCATTCAGGACTCAAACCTGCACTCCTGTAGGATGCCGGTGCCCAGGAGCACCACAACGCAGTGCTGTCCTCTGTCAGCCGGGCCCTGGGGGTGGGCCTGCTTCCGCTCACAGACACGGTGTCTGCGCCACCACTGAACGCACAGTGGCTCTGAGGGGTCAAGTCCCTCAGGGTCACACAGCGCATGCCCAGGCCCAGGTCCTTGCAGAAGCATTACTCCACCCACCCTGCCCGTCCCAGAACCTGCCTGGCTCTGTTTCCTTAGCCTGGGCTAGGCCCCAATCCCAGGGGCTGAGAGGCTCCCAGTCACCCCGAGAACCCGCTGTGCTTACCCTGCCCTGGAGGAGCAGGGCATCCAACCCACGCGTTGTTGCCCTGGGATTTGGGGTTGAAGGCCAAGGGCAGGTTGTACCAAAGGTGTTGCTGCTGTCACAGCACAGCAAGGCTGAAAATCTAAGGTGCAAGTGTCACCTGCCAGGGTGAACACAGAGGTAGGGGCGTGCTGGACAAGGCCAGGAAGTGGCCAGCAGGTGGCGGGCATGGCCCATGTGTGCTCAGCCAACTGCAGACTCACAGAGGAACCTGCAGGGGCAGGCTCTCCCCTCCCTCTCTCCCTCTCCCTCCCCTGCAGGCTCTCCCCTCCCTCTCTCCCTCTCCCTCCCCTGCAGGCTCTCCCCTCCCTCTCTCCCTCCCCTGCAGGCTCTCCCCTCCCTCTCTCCCTCCCCTGCAGGCTCTCCCCTCCCTCTCTCCCTCTCCCTCCCCTTCCCTGAATTCCTTCTGTCATTGCTCTGGGAGGGAATTCGCACTGGAAAAGACAGCCCGGCTCTGCTGCCAGCTCGGTGACCGTGAACACGCATACCCATGGGTGTATTTTCACTGGTTTGGCATGCACTTTCCAAAGGAGCCAGCCCAAGGGGTTCACTCCTCTCCCCGCCCTCCGTCTGCTTCCCTGCCCCCTGTCACTCCACCTGCTGCTCCTGCAGGCTCTACCCCTGGGAGAAACGTGCACACATTCCCTAGCTCCTTCCTCGTGCCGGCAGGCATGCGTCCATCCACAGCCCGACTCGTGTCCTTTCCTCATCTCACTCCACACCATAGCCAGAGAGTTTTTGAAACCAGAGGAAGAACAATTCTGTCCCCTGAGGCTGAGACCCAACCTGCTCGAAGCTGTTCCTGGGACCCTGTTACCCGGCCATTGAAGCTGAGAGGGACTCACCATCCTCTTCTGTGAAATGGGCAGTCGCTACAGTTCCCAGGGCACGCGAGGCCCTGAGGCTCCACTGAGCTCACAGTGGGTGATGTGCGAGCTGCTGCAAAGCGGGGTCTCCCACCAGCGCCCCAGACACTCCAGGATGGACTGGAGCCACACGGGCTAATACGGGCAGCCTGGCAAGGCGGCTGCCATGAGCCGCAAGCAGAGAGGGAGCTGGTGACAGCTCGTAGGGACTGGCACTGGGAGGACACAGAACCCCTGCTGAGGTCACAGAGGCACGATGGGGTCCTGGGGAAGCAGCAGTGTCCGCAGAAGGAAGGCAGTAGGGAGCAGGGGGCGGCCGGCCTCCTGGGTGACCACGGCCAGGGCATCAAGGACATGGTGGCCCGGCAGGGTGCTGTGTGCTGTGCCCAGGAGTCTTTCCCCTCCCGCGTGCTTGCTGCTGGACCAGGCAGACACAGGGGCCACCGACCCACTTCCTCCTCCAGCCCAGCTCCCACTTCCTGCCAAGCAAGACGGCTGAGTGTCGTTTTCAGTGTCACATGCCAGAAGCCAGTGCTGGTTTCCATGGATGACATCATCCACCGCCAACGGGAAGCTCAGCCCCTCTGAACTCCCCTGGGGCCTGGGGTGCTGTTCACCCTGCCCGGGCTTGAGCTGCCCCGGAGACCGCAGCTCCGCTGTCCAGTGCTTCGCACACACCATGTCCACATAACCTTGACGGCTCTGTGGGACACACTCGGCCACGGCCTCCATCCCACAGATGCGGAAAACCGAGGCCTCACCAACCCACGCAGCTTCCAGATTCTCTTTGGGACGAAGAGTTGTGGGCACAAGGGAGGCCTGGCGTCCACCTGCCTGCACTGACCTGTGGCGGAGATGCCTGCTGCGTGGGGGGCTGTGCCAATTCACGCAGAGGCAGCAGCAGCGCCCCGCTGTGAGGTGGACAGTGTGGCTCCAGCTGGGGCCCTCAGGAAGAAACCTCTGCTCGAGGGGCCAGCGCTCAGGCAGCGTTCACGGGCACCTGAGCCGGTCCTGGCCCACAGGCGCCATCTGTCCTCCCTACACCGTCACACGGGTCCCTTTTGCACAAAGATACACTGATTTGTTTGAAAGTTTCATAGAGCTCAGTGGGCTTAGTGGCGCCTCAGGCCCTTGCTGTGCTGCGGGAACTGTGGTGACTGCCCATTTTACAGACACAGAAAGGTCTTCCGTCTGCTAGTCCAATTCCCCAGAGGCTGTAACAGCCTGGGCAGAGCCAGGTGAAGCCAGGAGTCAGGAGCTTCTTCCAGGTCTCCCATGGGTGCAGGTCCCCAAGCATTTGGGCCGTCCTCTACTGCCTTCCCAGGTCATCAGCAGGGAGCTGGATTAGAAGTGGAAATAGCTGGGACTTGAACTTACAGCCGCATGGGATGCTGGCATTGTAGGCAGAGTAGTCACAGCA